ACTTATAGGGCGCAGCAGCGAACTAGCCGAAACGTTGAAAAGGCGAAAAGAGTGGACATCGCTTGCATTCAGGAGACGCGGTGGAAGGGACAGAAGTCCCGCGACATTGGCGAAGGCTACAAGCTGAGCTACTATGGCGAGACCAACAGTAAAGGCGTGGCCATTGTCGTAATTGCCATGTCGTAGCTGCGCAGCCATGTCGCAGAAATAAGACGTCATTCGGATAGACTCATCTCCGCTGTAATCGACGTGGCAACCCGCCGACTTTTGTGTGTTCTCAGCCTACGCCCCACAAAGCGGTTGTGACGATGTAGAGAAGGAACAGTTCTGGACTGAACTACAGGATCACATTGCAGCAGTCCCCGAGAGCGAAGCAATCCTGCTTTGTGGCGACCTAAATGGCCACGTTGGTAGCGCTCAGAATGGTTACAACTGCCATGGCAACAACGGATACGGGATACGAAACGAAGACGGACGGCGTATTCTAGAATTCGCTGAGGCCAATGATCTTGCTATCAGTAACACATTCTTCAAGAAGCGTGAAAGTCACCTAGTTACATATGCAAGCGGTGGGCAGAAAAGTCAAATAGACTTCGTGTTGGTCCGCAGGCGAGATCTTTGTTCCATCAGTGATGCGAAGGTCATCCCCTCAGACTGCCTGGCACCACAACACAAGATGCTCGTTGTGGATACGAAGGTAATCAGGCGTAGAAGCGACACCGGCCGGTCTATGGGACCAGAGCGAATCAAGTGGTGGAAACTGCGGGGACAGGAAGCGACAATTGCCCGCGCGTGCAGCTTACCTCCAGCCGATGGCAGGCCGGTCGAGGACTTGTGGACAACGTTTAGCAGATCCGTTACGACTGCTGCTAAATCTGCTTTAGGAATTACGAAACCCGGTCGACGTATTGACAAACAAACGTGGCTGTGGACGGAAGAAGTGAAGCAGAAAGTGATGGAAAAGAAGGCTGCCTACAAAACCTGGCTCACGCATAAAACTGCCGAGAACTGGAGGAAGTATACCACCGCTAGAAGAGAGGCAAAGAGGTCTGTGGCCGTAGCCAAAGCGGAACATTTCCGGGGCCTATACGATCAGCTAGGTACCAAGGAAGGTGAGAAAAACATCTACAGACTGGCGAAAGCACGGGCCCAAGCAGCGAAGGACGTTGAGCACTATTCCAATGGAGAGCGGCTGCATAGTAGACGAAAGATACTGCATCGCTGGTGGGAACATTTCAACGAGATTTCCAACGTGGAGTTCGCACACCCGCCAATTCCAGAAGGTCCGCCAACCGCCGGTCCAGTGCAACGCATCACAGTCGAAGAGGTTACCAAGGCGATCGACAGCATGAAGAACCAAAAAGCGCCAGGGCCAGACAACATACCGGCAGAAGTCTGGAAAATGAAGGAGATGCGAGAGAGTGGTATTCCGTGGCTCACGCAGTTCATAAATGCAATTGTTGATTCAGGCCGGGCACCCAGTGAATGGGCTACGAGCATTACTGTGCCAATCTTCAAGAACAAGGAGATCCGGCCGAGTGCTCTAATTACCGCCCTATACGCTTGCTTTCGCACACCATGAAGATCTTCGAGCGAATCCTCGATCAACGGTTGCGCGACATCATCGATTTGAGCAACAACCAGTGCGGTTTCGTGAAAGGACGAGGAACAACCGATGCAATTTTTGCCGCTCGCTCACTCATGGAGAAGCATCGGGAAAAGCGGAAACCACTTCATATAGCTTTCTTGGATCTCGAGAAAGCTTACGATCGCGTTCCCCACCAACTAATCTGGTATGCGCTACGCGAGCATGGAGTGCCCGAAGCACTTATCAACTGGATTCGAATGCTGTATATGAACACCACCAGTCGAGTCCGATGTGCTGCGGGTTTATCTAAGAGCTTTCCAATAAAAGTTGGAGTTCACCAAGGTTCGGCCCTCTCGCCATTGCTGTTTATCCTCATCATGGACACACTCACACGAGATCTTGCTATTCATCCTCATCATGGACACACTCACACGAGATCTGCAACACGCTGCTCCATGGACTTTGCTCTATGCTGACGATGTTCTTCCTAGCGGATGTCAGTAGGGAGGAATTGCAGCGTCAAGTACAAGCATGGAGTGACCGTCTAAGCCAGTATGGCCTTCGCCTCAACATCAGGAAAACGGAATACTTAGAAACTGACCCTAGCGAAGGCACGATCAAAGTGGAAGGCGAAGACTTACCGAAAACAATGTCTTTTAGGTACCTAGGGTCCCGCTTGCAGAGTACAGGAGGTGTCGATGATGAGATACGAATGAGAGTCAACGCGGCATGGATGAGATGGAGATCACTGGCGTGCTATGTGATAAGCGCATGCCTCTTCGCCTAAAGTCAAAGATATACCGGACCATGGTTCGACCCGTGGCACTGTACGGATCCGAATGCTGGCCAGCTACCAAAAGTGCCGAGCGCCAACTCCACGCCATGGAAATGCGAATGCTGCGGATGTCAATGGGCATTTCACGACTCGACAGAATCAGTAACGACGTGATTCGATGCCAGATGGGTGTCGCACCAATCGCCGAGAAGATGCAAGAGAGGCGGCTTCAGTGGTATGGCCACGTTTTGCGAGCCGAGCGTGATACCATCGCTGCTGTTGCATATCGATTTGAAGTTGATGGTCAACGGCCGAGAGGAAGGCCAAAACAGCGCTGGCAGGACACCATAAATGCGGACATGAAAGTG